GATAGATAGATAGATAGATAGATAGAAATAGTCAGATGATAGACAGATAGATAGATAGATAGATAGATAGATAGATGAGTTTGAATGGGTTAGAAATAGTACATAGAAAGGAAGTCTGATTGAGTCTAATGGGCTTCAGTGTGTTTAGATTTGAATTTTGACAGTTGGAGTTTGACGGAATGTTCAGATGAGCAGAGACTTTTCAATGTAAGTCTATGGGATTTTTAATATTTTTAATATTTAATTTTTATGAAAACCGTAAGTCCGATCAGTTAGAAAAGATATAGCACACCCGGTCAGATCAGTCTGAAGAGCTGGGCTGAGTTTGGAGTCTGTAGAGTTAAAGCTCTAGGAGGAGTAGCAGTCAGAAATTTTAGTCTCAGAAAAAGAATAATAATAATAATAATAATAATAATAATAAGTTTAAGACGGATTTCAGTAAGTTGGCTTTCTCAAGCCAACTTAATTAAAGCAAACAACCCCCCTTTCTCCCATCACTCTGCCCCTCATAAGCATCTTTTTCTTTCCCTTATTCAGGCCATCAATTTTCAGCCAGCTATCATATCTCATTATCTCTATCCCTGATAAGACATTCCCTTGACTATATGTTAAAGTTCCTCGTTGCAGTGTCAGGGAATGACAGCAAAGAATGTAACAGTTGTGAGCAGGATTTGTGCCATTTTATCTTATATGTGTTATATTAGTGAGCTATGCTACTATGGAGATATCAAAAGGTCAAAATGCGTTATATCTTGAAAAAAAAAAAATTTGGCAGAAGAATGGACAATGCAGGAGACCCACAAAAAATTGGATTAAACCAAAGTCCCTTTAAGGACAGTCAGTCCACTTGGTGGCCAGAGGGCTGCTATTTTGGCATCATGCAAGTACAGCTGGGTCATTCTCGATGGAGAAACTGTACAAATAAGATGTACGATTGGTTAACACAAACCTTTTCACACAGCATTAGTATTGCAAGCGTCGCATTCAGGGGCGATTCTATGATTTTCATCTTAGGGGGGCTCAGCCCCCAATGAGGGTAATAATAAAAAAGAATAATAAATATACAAATAAAAAAAATGTTTGACTAATAGGGATGGTTTACTAAACTTATTGCAGTATTCCACTGCATTGCTTAGATAGGTATAACATTTGAGTACTGAATAAGCCTTCCTGATCTCACACACACTTTACTGTAGTTACAAACACAACACAAAATTTTACTGTTTGCTTTTCTAGTACAACCCTCTTTCTTTAGCTCAAGTATGCAAACCTCTTTGCACATGCACTGTAATATGTATTATATTGAAAGTTACATTTTCAAATGAAAATGGCAACATGATCGTTTCATAAAGTATGCGGTTTCATTTTTGCTGGAGGAAACAGCTGACGCGCTGAAAGACGGGGAGGAGCCGAAGTCTGCCGCTGTATTCATATGAAATTTAAAGGGGACTGAGGCGATCACGAATTCATGTACAGTTTATGGAGCTGATCGCAAAATGTTTAGGCTATAGCCCCCCTAAAAATGGCCTAGCAACGCCCATGGTCGCACTATTTAACTGTTTACCTATGGCAGTTAGCCACTGCTGGTAGATGCTGTATTATCATTATAATTTTTTAATAATACAAATAAAAACTTTCTCCATAGACAGCCATTTAAAATGTAATCCTGTAAAAAAATATAGTAAATATAGTATAAAGTATAGTAAAAAAAAAAAAAAAAAAAAAGCCTTTAATCTCACATGACTTTATTTTACATTAAAGGGGTCCTATTATGCTTTTTCACTTTTTCAACTTTAGTTAGTCTGTAATGTTGCTGTTTGAGCATAAAAAAGATCTGTAAAGTTACAAAGCTCAAAGTCCACTTCAAAAGGAGATATTTTATTTAACAGAAATCACTTTTCAAAAACAACGAATGACTCGTTTGGACTACAATGGGTATTTTCCGGCATTTGTGATATCACAAATATCGACGAATGGGACGAGACCTGGTAATGAGTGTTATCACTATGTCAGAGACACGCTAGCTTTCCCAAGGCAGAAGGAACTATTCGAGCCATTCATGCCAGACTGGCGAGAGAGGTGTTGTAATAATGTAAAATATGTGAAAAAATAATGTTTTTCGAACAACCTAGTATGAGAGTCTGTTCTAGTACACCCCCAAAACAAAAGCAAGACTTATTAAAAGAGCATAATAGGACCCCTTTAAAAATAACTGACAAGTACATAGATGTGTTTTTTTCTGAGGTTTTTTTTTTTTTTTTTTTATGAATTAAGAAATCCTGCATCCAAAGAGCACAGATTTATAGACTTTGTACCCAAGTAGATTTTTTTTTGTTGCATATTTTTGATGTAAACTCTGTAAACTTTGATTACAATTTGTCCCTTTTATTGCTGTATACTCTTAGGTACTATGGCTTTTGTTATTTATACAATTTATGATACAATTTATGATTAAAATCATTAAATGTTAAATGGTCTTTAAATGTTTAAATAGTAATTTATTTAGGAAATTGCTGCTATGAACCCCCCACGAAACAACAGTGTAGAGAATGTCCACACAAAGACGCATAAGTAAAAGTTCAAGAATTGACTGCAACCAATAAAGTGGGTAAATGATGTTAGATTATGTCATGTGCTAATTAGCATGTTCATGACGTCATCATACCATAAAGTCAGCCCTTTACATCTGTGCTCACATATTGTATTTTAATACATCCAAATTCCCAATAAAGCTGTTCTCATTTACAATTTTTTTTTTTCTCTCTTTCTGGAATGAGTATGAAATAGTGACTGAAATGCATCACAATCTTGATTTATAACCACAACATTGCCTGACTTGTTTTTATCTCATACATTTATGAATTTCACAGCACACCCTGTGTATTATATTCTCTTCCAAGGAAAGAAACTAAGGCTTGTCAAGAAAATTGCTAGATTTGTTATGTACTTTTTGAAAAAGGTACTAAAAGGGCTATGAAAGGTCACTAAATTTAACAGCTGTTGTGAAGTTGGCAACACTGACAGCAACTACATATAAATAAGATACTTTCCTTGCAATCAGGTGGGTCCTATACTGTCATGTTGCTAATTTTCAGCTATGATAAAGGGGTATTTCTGCCTATAGGGATCCAGACGTGTGCTCCTAATAATGTTTGTCCTAATCACTCTGAGGTGTGAGGGACTAGTGATGGTAGAGGAGATACCACGACTGCTCTTCACACGCTCTGCATGCCATGATATTACACACGTGTGCTCTTGGACTATTTATAGAGCCCTGTTCTTATCCACTTGTTTATTTTCCTACACGTTGCACAGGACAAACTTTATTGACATTTCATTTAATTCGAAATATTAGTGAATACAAGCAATGTCCATTTGGTACTATTAGAAAGCTGTATTGTTTGGCACCAGAACCGTTTTAAGAGCCATTTTCACCATTTAACTTCTCTGACTTTCAAGATCTCCCAGGCCTCTGACAAGTGAGTAAATTCTCTTCTTTCACAGCACTGATGCAGTATCAATTCTTGTGTTAAACACTATAGACTTTTAAATGACAGTTTACTTTTTTTTTTTCTTACAGCACGGACGCAGACATATCTGATGAACTCTGATAATATATGAATGAGGGTTGCTTATATTGCAATTAACCTCACATTCTATCAATTGCAGGCACACCGATAGGAAAAATTGTAATCAAACCAGCAGCAAAACTGTGTCGTTTGTCAGAATGATGATTCGCCTCTAAGTGGTGCACCTTCTCATAACCTGATGGATGTGCCGTGAACATATAACATTATATCATACCTCCCCGAGTCCACTGGGAACTCTACAGATGATGCATATTAACTGTCTGAGTTCATGCTATAAAGGAGAGAGTGAAAATTACCTAGTTTAACGGCCTCTAATTCACCTTCACAAGCAGTAAAGAGAACGGGGAGGGGGGCTTGCTTGGAAGAACCGGGCCCACCTGCTCAAAAAGAATGAATGTAGTTCAGTGGCGAAATTCAGTGAGCTCAGCATACTATTGTGCAGTGTGATTCAAGGCTCGCACAGCGCAATACATCATAAAGACACTCTAAAGCAGAAAGCCACACGTCCCACAAACATCCTGCAGCTGAGGTAAAGTGAAAGCCTTTTACAGTGAGATCATCAGATTTTGATGTAAAAAGTATGTGCAGAAAAGAGTAAAAATGGAGAAGGTCTTTCATGGAAGTAACCAAAATGTTCAAGATTTGTGTAAAAGTTCAAGAATCCGTCATTGAAGAACCGTTATCGATTGGACGCTAATATGAAAATTGGGGAGGATGTGTTCCCCCTTAAACTCTACTTGGTTACGACCCAGTACAATGGACATGGCTGGAAGGACAATTGAGAAGAAAAGGCAAAATCACGAGAGTATTTCAGTCACTTAGTGAGATGGATTTACTGCGTTGGAGGTGAAGATGTTAAGTACTTTGATAGACCTAGTGTGACTAATGATCGCCATCAATATCGACCAATTTAAAACATCTGATGCCAACATGATCATGCCTCCTTGATATGTACCATGTATTGATACTTAAAAAAAAATTTTCACCCTCTATCCCTCTCGTTTCACAAGAGTTAAGAGAAGGAACCTAGTCCTCCCGGACTATATCCTCTCGAGACATAGAAACCTGAGATCTTTCAACAAATCAACCCCCACAAACAGCAACAAGTATATAACCCGGCTTGTTTGGTCCTCTCAAGCCATGTAAAAACTGCAGCATTTTGCCAGCCGCCCCTCTATGCAAGCGTAGGACAGTGGGCTCAGGAGTAAACAGATAGAGAGGGGGACAAAGTAGGGGAATGATTGCAAGAGACTTACCAATCAGAAGTGTGACGACCAGACCAGCGTGGACTACATCGCCGGACCGCGCACACCTGTGCAGGAATGATCTTCTGTTTTGCAACTCCATGCCAGACCGTCTACCCACTTGTGCCTGTCTGTCTGTCCCTGGTCAAGTCTTCCGCTGTATGTCTTGGGTGGGATACTGTAGGTCTGAGGGGCCACAAGGGACCCGACACGAAATTAGACTTTCAGCTGGGGAAGTCTTGCAGAGTACCTCCCTGTCCTCGATCCTCCTTTGCAGTATGTCCCGGTAAGGCAGGGAGAGGGAACTAGAGAGAGAGAAATACAGAGGCAGCACCTGATCCGTTGCTTGATCTTCAGATCAGTGGCTCTCAGTTGCCGGCAGTGTCTCGCTGTTATAGCCTGTGCCTGTGAGCATGGGAATCTTTATTCCTGCCCCTATCTGGTTCAGTATCGGTGTATGATTGTATGACTTCATTTCAGTCAGTTCTGTTATCGATATTTTGCATTTACTGCTGCCTTCTGTGTTTTATCTTCCCTACTTTTTTGTTCTAAGTTTGTTGCACTGCCCGCAAAAATATTTTATTGCTCAGAGGTTGCTCTTCCACATCTCTGGAGCAAGGTCAGAAATTAAACATGACGCGGGGCAAAAACTCCACTAAATGTGACAGAAATGTCCCAGATATTTAAAATGTGGGGTCCTAGATGACCCTGCAATAAATTCTATTTTATTTATCTGTTATATAATTTGATATAGTTCAGTTTTCATTCTCAAGTTGTATTTTAAGCCTGTCTTGTTGTGGGTAAAGAACAGGAGTCTCATATTGTCCAACAAATAGGGGAAGTCTTGCAGAGTACCTCCCTGTCCTCGATCCTCCTTTGCAGTATGTCCCGGTAAGGCAGGGAGAGGGAACTAGAGAGAGAGAAATACAGAGGCAGCACCTGATCCGTTGCTTGATCTTCAGATCAGTGGCTCTCAGTTGCCGGCAGTGTCTCGCTGATACTCTGTCTCACTCAGCGTGGTTGTAGATGCAGGAAACGCTGCATTCATTCAGCGGCAGCTGCAGCGCAGAGCTCCACTTTCAGTCTGGGGAAGAGACTGTCGATCTTACCCATGAATAGGTGCAACATGCTGGGATGAGTGGCCAGAGGAGGGGTGGAGGGGGGCGGTGTGTGTCTGTAGCCGCTCAGGAAAGAATGAGCCACTGCAGAGGCACGGGACGAGTGAAAGGGAGAGAGAGAAAGATGGAGAGAAATAAGGGAGGGAGGGAGAGTGTGTGAGGTGGGGATGGGTTT